AACTAGAACAGAACTAGAACATGAACTAGAACAGAACTAGAACAGAACTAGAACAGAACTAGAACAGAACTAGAACAGAACTAGAACAGAACTAGAACAGAACTAGAACAGAACTAGAACAGAACTAGAACAGAACTAGAACAGAACTAGAACAGAACTAGCACATAACTAGAACAGAACAGAACTAGAACAAAACTACAACAGAACTAGAACAGAACTAGAACAGAACTACAATAGAACTAGAACGGAACTACAACAGAACTACAACAGAACTACAGCAGAACTAAAACAGAACTAGAATAGAACTAAAACAGAACTAGAACAGAACTAGAACAGAACTAGAACAGAACCAGAACAAAACTAGAACAGAACTACAACAAAACTGGAACAGAACGGAGATAAAACAGAACTAGAACAGAATTAGAATAGAAATAGAACAGAACTAAAGCAGAACTGAAACAGGACAAGAACTAGAACAGAACTAGATCAGAACTAGAACAGAACTAGAACAGAACTAGAACTAGAACAGAACTAGAACAGAACTAGAACAGAACTAGAACAGAACTAGAACAGAACTAGAGCAGAACTTGAATAGAACTGAACTAGAACAGAACTACAACAGAACTAGAACAGAACTAGAACAGAATTAGAATAGAACTACAACAGAACTAGAATAGAACTACAACAGAACTAGAATGGAACTAGAACAGAACTACAACAGAACTACAATAGAACTAGAACAGAACTAGCACATAACTAGAACAGAACTAGAACAGAACTAGAACAGAACTAGAACAGAACTAGAACAGAACTAGAACAGAACTAGAACAGAACTAGAACAGAACTAGAACAGAACTAGAACAGAACTAGAACAGAACTAGAACAGAACTAGAACAGAACTAGAACAGAACTAGAACAGAACTAGAACAGAACTAGAACAGAACTAGAACAGAACTAGAACAGAACTAGAACAGAACTAGAACAGAACTAGAACAGAACTAGAACAGAACTAGAACAGAACTAGAACAGAACTAGAACAGAACTAGAACTAGAAGAACTAGAACATAACTAGAACAGAACTAGCACATAACTAGAACAGAACAGAACTAGCACATAACTAGAACAGAACAGAACTAGAACAAAACTACAACAGAACTAGAACAGAACTAGAACAGAACTACAATAGAACTAGAACGGAACTACAACAGAACTACAACAGAACTACAACAGAACTACAACAGAACTACAACAGAACTACAGCAGAACTAAAACAGAACTAGAATAGAACTAAAACAGAACTAGAACAGAACAAGAACAGAACTAGAACAGAACTAGAACAGAACTTGAACAGAACCAGAACAAAACTAGAACAGAACTACAACAAAACTGGAACAGAACGGAGATAAAACAGAACTAGAACAGAATTAGAATAGAAATAGAACAGAACTAAAGCAGAACTGAAACAGGACAAGAACTAGAACAGAACTAGAACAGAACTAGTACAGAACTAGAACAGAACTAGAACAGAACTACGACAGAACTAAAACAGAACTACAACTGAACTAGAATTAAACTGGAACTGCACTTTAACCAAACTATTGCATTTTATAAAACTTAAACTTATCTTATAAATTATTTTCAAATTAATGTTAAATTTAAAATAATTTTTAGTTTTAGTTGCTTCATTTTCTTGAAGGTCACGTTTTTGGATTAATCTTAACTTAGCAAAATTATTATTTCTTCTATTTCTATTGTCTCCTCCAAAAACCGCAAGAAACTTAATGATATATTGTCTAGGCCAAAGTTAAAATAGCGAAAAAAAAACAAAACCGTAATTAAACTTGTCATCTAGTTTTGGCCATAAAACATATTTAAGACCCAAAAGAAAATGCTGCTTGCAGCTTAATTTTACACACAATACACTCATTAATTAATGTTAAGCTTAATTAGCTTAAAATAAAGTAATTTTTATGACAATATTTTTGTTTAATAAATAAACATAAAATAATGATGAGTTTTAATGTGGGAACTGTTTTTTAAACAAAAACATTAAATAAAATTTTTTTAAAAAAATTATAATTATTTATGATTTTTTGTTTGTTTTAATGCTTAGGCTTTACAATTTGTTTTAACTACAAAAATCGATTTTAAAATTTACGATTATTTCATTGATAAAGAAATCATAACCAAAAATTTACATTTTGTTTTTATTGAAAACAGTTTAAGCATAAATTAATGTTTAGTCATTAAATAAACACAAATTTAAATTATTTTTTTTTTTTGGAATTTGTTTTAAAATTTATGTTTAGAGTAAAAAAAAACCTGCTTTAAAGTTAAATTTGAAACATTCATTCATGATTATAAAGAATTCGTATTCCTATTAATGACAAGGAATTCCACAGAAATTTATAAAAAATAAATCATAATTATATAAAAATATTTATATATAAAATGTTAATAATTCATATTTTGTAATAAATTATTTTTATACAAAAAACTACCGTTATGAAAAAAACATGAATGTATGCTAAGCAATTTTTAATTAACTCATTATTTCTTTAATTATGACAATTAAACCAGTAATTATTTCTATTAAAATGTGTGTGTTTTTTTTAAGGTGCAAAACAAGCTTTTACTACAATAAATATTTATTTAAAAAAGAAATATTGTGTAATTTTTTTATTATAAATTATATGTTTTATTATGTTTTGTCATTTAAATTATTTTTAATCAAATTAACTTAATTATGTGTTAATAACTTTTTTTTTAAATATATTTTTGTTTAAGATTTCTTTGTTATATTATAGCAGAAAAACCTTTATACAATTGTTTAAAAATTTTTAAAAGAAAGTTTTAAACAAAATTTTATTAATTTGTTTTCCACATAAATAAATGTCAAGTTGTTGATTTTGTTTGTTTATGATTTTATCACAACATTTAAATAATAAAACTTTTTCTTTCATTTAAATTTTGTAAATTTATAATTTTTTGTTTAGTTAAAATTTTGTTGTGATCTTTGTTAAAAAAATGAAAAAGATCGTTTCAGAAATAAATAAAACAGAGCACATGATAGAACACACTGTAGTTTACACAGTAGTACAGACGGCTTGCTGGCTTATCTAACTGGCTTAACTAACTATAGTCTTGGCTAGAATCCAGAGAATATAGTTCAGACTATTGTTGACACTATAGATCAGCCTATAGTCCACACACTATAGTTCAGAATTTAGTTCACACTATATCTTAGCCTTTAGTCCAGACTATAGCTCAGACTTTACTCTAGTATATAGTTCAGACTATAGACTATATAATCAGTTCTATAATCACACCAGATTATAGATATGATTATGGTAAAAACGTTATTAAGACTATACTAGAACAGAACTAGAACAGAACTAGAACAGAACTAGAAAAGAACTAGAAAAGAACTAGAACAGAACTAGAACAGAACTTGAACAGAACTAGAACAGAACTAAAACAGAACTAGAACAGAACTAGAACAGAACTAGAACAGAACTAGAACAGAACTAGAACAGAACTAAAACAGAACTAGAACAGAACTAGAACTGAACTAGAACAGAACTAGAACAGAACTAGAATAGAACTAGAACAAAACTAGAACAGAACTAGAACAGAACTAGAACAGAACTAGAACAGAACTAGAACAGAACTAGAACAGAACTAGAACAGAACTAGAACAGAACTAGAACAGAACTAGAACAGAACTAGAACAGAACTAGAACAGAACTAGAACAGAACTAGAACAGAACTAGAACAGAACTAGAACAGAACTAGAACAGAACTAGAACAGAACTAGAACAGAACTAGAACAGAACTAGAACAGAACTAGAACAGAACTAGAACAGAACTAGAACAGAACTAGAACAGAACTAGAACAGAACTAGAACAGAACTAGAACAGAACTAGAACAGAGCTAGAACAGAACTAGAACAGAACTAGAACAGAACTAGAACAGAACTAGAACAGAACTAGAACAGAACTAGAACTAAACTAGATCTAAACTAGAACAGAACTAGAACAGAACTAGAACAGAACTAGAACTAAACTAGATCTAAACTAGAACTAAACTAGTACTGAACAAGAACTGAACTAGAACTAAACTTGATCTAAACTAGAACTAAACCAGAACTGATCTAGTACTGAACAAGAACTGAACTAGAACTGAACTAGAACTAAACTAGAACTGAACTAGAACTAGAACTGAACTAGAACTGAATTAGCATTGAACTAGTACTAAACAAGATCTAAACTAGAACTGAACTAGAACTAAACTAAAACTGAACTAGATCTAAACTAGAACTAAACTAGAACTAAACTAGAACTAAACTAGAACTAAGCTGGAACTAAACTAAAACTAAACTAGATCTAAACTAGAACTAAACTAGAACTGAACTAGATCTAAACTAGAATTGAACTAGAACTGAATTAGATCTGATCGTGAACTTAACTAGAGCTGAACTAGAACTGGACTAGAAGTGAACTAGAACTAAACAAGAACTTAACTAGAAATATATTCTAGTCTAAAATCCAGACTATAGTACAAACTATGGTCCACAATATAGTATAGACTTTAGTCCAAATTATAGTCTATAGTCCAGACGTTAATCCATACTATATATTGTATATAGTGCAGACTCTAGTGTTGACTAAGATTTATGATTGCTCTGCAGTTGTCAGAGTTCAGTTGTCAGCTTATACTATCCAGAGAAGTTGATCTGTTAAAGCTCAATTATCAATCTAATAAAAAAGACAATATGACCGAGATTTGGTAAACATTTGATGTTTTCATTTAAACCACTAAACTTAGATAATCCGCCATAAAAATAAAACCTATCGACTTAATTTTTATAATTTAATAATAAAAATATTATTAAAAACATAATAAACTAACATAAAAAAGTTTTCTTTTTTGTTTAAAATGTTATAACTCGGTAGCTGATTAGTTCAAAAATAACATGTAAAAGATAAGAAAAACTTACCTTGTTAGTGTTTTTGTTTTTGGAGATTTTTGGCCAAAGAAGAGATGATTTAAAAGATGATTAACTTGGTTGGTTTCCGTAAAAAAACCATCAAAATTATTATTATTATTATTATTGTAATTATAATATTATTTAATCAGCAAGCAAAGTTTTGTGTTTTTTTTAATAAAAATCCAAATGGCTAAAGATGAAAGTAAACCTTAGTTAACTAGAGTTTGGGTTAATAAATCCTTATGTAAGTTTTTTGTTTTAAGATGTTTTTTAAGTTAAAAAAAAAAAAAAAAACACAAAATGACGTGTTTTGTGTTTAATGTATTTTCATTTAAAGTAATTAATTAAAAACATTTTTTTTTGTTTATAATTTTTTTGTTTTTATTGTAAATAAAAACCATTGTAGTGAAACTTTTTTTGTGTAATGTTAAGATTATTATGTGTGTTTTTTTTTTGTTTTTATTATTTTTGGTTTAATGGTTTTGAGAAAATGTAATTATTTTTTAGAAAATTTTTAAAGATTTTTTTTTTATCTTTTACAAGGTCGATTGTTAATATAAGTTTAATAAAACTTGTTATGTTTTATTTAATTATTTTGCCACAAAATTTTTCTTTAAAACCGATTTTCCCCTTTTTTTTGCTCAACGCTTTAAATCAAAACCGTATAAAATTTTGTGATTTTTTTTAAATTTGTTGAATTTTTTTTTCGTATTCACTCATAACGTCAACGTTCAACTTCACTGCACAGGTGTTGTTTTCTAGTGTAAATTGCTTTTTTTCAAGAATTTTCTTTTGATTTCATTTCAGCATTTCAAGCACAACAAGTTTGTCAACACTTTTTTATAAATTTCCCGAAATTTTTTAAAAAATTTTCTTAATTTTCACAATTTATTATAATTTTCTTTAATTTTTGTAATTTTAAAATTTTCTTAAATTTTTTTTAAATTAATTTTTTAATAACTTTACTTGTTCTACGAAAGAAAAAAAAAATAATTTTATTTTTTTTTTTTTTTTTTTGCAAACGACCGTATCTCATAAACCGTTTCGTAAATCCCTCAGTTAGCTACTAAATTAGACTATACTAAAAAAGATCTATACAAGACCTAAACAAAACATAAACAACTAAATTCCACACACACACATGAAAACTTCACTCCATTCTCTTCGCTCAGTTGTGAAAGCACTCAAAGTAAAATCACTCAAAAATGTTTATCAAACAAAATACACTATTATTGTTTTTACCTTAGCTATAGAAACTCTATGCTATAGGGATGAAAACTGAACAAAACACAAGTTTTAGTACCACAGGTCTTTACTTGATTCATAAGGCTACTTGCTATGTTTTAAACTAAACTATAGATCAATCGATATAAGATAAATACTTTATAACAGACAATATATATTTGAGAAAATAATAAAGATTACAAACTGAACTACAGTTCTGACTGTAGTCCAGACTCTGTATCATATTATAGACAAAACTATATACGAGAGTCTCTAACAGACCAGACTATAAATCAGTCTATTGTCCACATTTTAAAATTGGATATGGAATAGAATATGGGCTAGACAATAAACCAAACTATAGAACAGAGCATAGTCCAAACAATAGACAAGATTACAGTCCATACTTTAGACTAGGTTAGAGGCAAGAATATATGTAAGATTAGTATAGATCACACCAAATCAAACAATAGTCTAGATCATACTGAAGTCTCGACTATAGACCATACTGTAGCCTCGACTATAGTCCAAATTATTATAGTTCAGAATATTGTCCACAATATGGATTATATTATAGTACAGACTATGGTCGAGTATATAGACTAGACCAAATTATCGTCTAGACAATAGACTGTAGTCTTGACTATAGTACTGACAATAGACTACACTATAGAATAGACAATAGACTGTAGTCTTGACTATAGTACTGACAATAGATTACACTATAGAGTAGACAATAGAATAAACTGTAGACTATACTATAGTCCATACTATAGATTACACTGTCGTCCAGACTATAGACTGGATTACAGTTCTGACTATAGCCTAGACTATAGTCCAGACTATAGACTACACTGTAGTCCAAACTATAGACTAGATTATAGCTCTGACTATAGCCTAGACTATAATACAGACTATATACTAGACCAGTGGCCTCCGGTAGGTTAGTGGTTAGTGTTCTAGTCTGGTAGACCGGAGGTGGTGGGTTCGATTCCCACCTGAGGCACTGGTTAAGGAGCGCACAACAGGCCCGATAGAGGCCTAGGTGTATTTCTTCGGATTTGATGTATATACATCCTCCTTTCAAACTAACTAACTAACTAACTAACTAACTAACTAACTAACTAACTAACTAACTAACTAACTAACTAACTAACTAACTAACTAACTAACTAACTAACTAACTAACTAACATATACTAGACCATGTTTCAGACTATGGTCTTGACTATAGTCCACACTATAAACTAGACTAAAGTCCAGACCTTAGAGTACACTATAGTCCAGACCATAGACTAAACAATACTCCAGATTATAGAAGAGTCCAGACCATAGAGTACACTATAGTCCAGACCATAGACTAAACAGATTATAGAAGAGCAAATAGTACAGATTGTAGACAAAACAATAGTCTCGACTATAGATCATACTGTAGCCTCGACTATAGACTAAAATATAGTACAAACTATAGACTAGACTATAGAGAATATTATATACTAGACTATGGACTATATATCATACTATTTACTATACTATGGTTTAAACTACAAATTAGAATATAGTCTAGATTATATTTCAGATCATAGTCTAGAATATAGCCCTCACTATAGTCCAGACCATGGACTGTACTATAGTTCAGACTATAGGCTAAACTATAGACCATACTGTATTCTCGACTATAGTACATACAATAGACTAGACCATAGACTAGTCTATGGACTAATCTAAAAACTAATAAATATATCGTAGACTAGTATATAGACTAGACTAAAGACAAATAAATAGACCATATGTTATGGAATAGACTATAGAATGGACCATAGACTAGTCTACAGACTAAACTAAAAACTAGACTATAGACTAAACATAAGACTGGAGAATAGAATTGACCTTAGACTATACTATAGAATAGACTATAGAATAGACCATAGACTAGATTACAGACTAGACTATAGACTGTACTATACTCTAGACTATAAATTATAATATAGAATAGATAAGACTATAGACTAGACTATAGACTAGACTATAGACCAGACTACAGACTAGACTATAGAGTAGATAACGGACTAAACTATATACTAGACTGTAGATTAGACTATAGACTTAAGACTAGGACATATACTATACTATAGCCTAGACTGTAGACTATAGCCTAGACTATTCACTAGACTATATACTTGACTATATACTAGACTACAGACTAGACAATAGACTAGACTATAGACTATACTAGAGACTAGACTAAAGACTAGCTTATAGACTAGACCTTAAACTAGACTATAAAGTAGACTATAGACTAGACTATAGACTGGATAATAGACTAGACTTAAGACTAAACTATAGAGTCTACTATAGGCTAGACTATAAACTAAAATATGGACTAAACTATAGACTACGCAATAGTCCAGACTATAGACTAGACTACAGACTATACAATAGTCCAGACCATAGTCTAAAAAATAGCCCGCACTATAGACTATAGTCCACACTATGGAATAGACTATAGTCCAGACTATAGACTAGAAAGCAGTGTTGACCTTAGACCATTCTGAAATCTTAACTCCAGTCTAATTTGTAGTCTTTAGTACCAAAAAAATCACAAAAAGTACTTAATATAATATTAAAATTCCCCTTTTCTCCCCCAAAAACCCACACTAGCTGCATTTGTTTTGATAAAACACAACAAACCGGCATATGTATTCATCATACTCATCACTCTTACACTCAAAACACAACAAACTCTTTTACTCTACCTTCCTTTTCACTCAAATACTCATTTAATCAATATTTAAAACAATACCAACAACAACATCGCTAAAATAATAATAAAATATGCCTGCAGTTTGTTCATTGACCGTTTAAGTGCTCAAACAACAGCAAAAGCAACAACAACACAACTTTAGTTATTACAACAACATTTTATTTATGTAGGTTTTTCTTTTCAATTCTATTTTATTTATTCATGTATCAATGAGTTTTGTTGTTGTTTACGTGCGTATGTCTGTCGGTATCTGTATGTATCGCTATGTAGGTAGCAACATCCTCTATAGGCTTGTCAGCATATTGTTGTTGTTGGGTTTAAATAAGACCTTTTTGAACCAGTTTTAAAAATTGGAGCTACGCACATGGTTTTGACTTTGCTAAGGTATTGTTATTGTTGGAAGAGAAAAAATGCCTTTCTTTAAATCTTGTTTTTGTTTTAATTACAAGAGAGTAAAGGAATGTAAATTTGGTTGATATTGAGAATTAAGGTATAAGTACCTTTAGCAACATGTTGATGCAACATTCTTGTGTGATGTAATCAATGGATTTTGGAAAAAATCAAGCCTATAAGGCTAGTCTATAGAATAGCATAGTCTATAGACAATACTGTAGACAAGACCATAGACTAGATTATAGACTAGACTATAGACTAGACTGTAGACTAAACTATAGACTAGACTATAGACTAGACTATAAGAATAGCCTATAGAATAGGCTAGAGTATAGACTAGACTACAGCCATGACTACAGAATAGACTATATACTAGACTATAGACCAGACAATAGACTAGACTATAGACTAGACTATAGACCAGACAATAGACTAGCCTATAGACTAGACTATAGACTAAACTATAGACTAGACTATAGACTAGGCTATAGACTAGACTATAGACTAGACTATAGACTAGACTATAGACTAGACTATAGACTAGACTATATACTAGACTATAGACTAGACTATAGACTAGACTATAGACTAGACTATAGACTAGACTATAGACTAGACTATAGACTAGACTATAGACTAGACTATAGACAGACTATAGACTAGACTATAGACTAGACTATAGACTAGACTATAGACTAGACTATAGACTAGACTATAGACTAGACTATAGACTAGACTATAGACTAGACTATAGACTAGACTATAGACTAGACTATAGACTAGACTATAGACTAGACTACAGACTAGACTATAGACTAGACTATAGACGGACTATAGACTAGACTATAGACTAGACTATAGACTGACTATAGGACTAGACTACTAGAGACTAGACTATAGAC